TAAAGTAAGTAGTAGTGTGTGTGTGTGTGTGTGTGTGTGTGTGTGTGTGTGTGTGTGTGTGTGTGTGTGTGTGTGTGTGTGTGTGTGTGTGTGTGTGTGTGTGTGTGTGTGTGTGTGTGTTGTGTGTGACTATGTGACTCGCTTATAATTTTTGAACGACTAAACCGATCCAAATCTACTAAACGGTGTTCTAAAGAGTCCCAAACTTAGATTTCCTGTGAATTTGAACCGATTCGAACCGATAGATTTTGAGAAATTTCAAAAAATCTCAAAAAAAATGAAAAAAAATTTTTTTTTGAAAGTGGTTTTTTTGGATTAACTTTTAAACGACTTTATCGATCAACTTCAAAAACTAATCCGCCCTTAAGCTTGAAAAACCACGCCGATCGTCACTGATCCGGTCAAAATCGGTTGATTCGTTCGAGAGATATCGTGAACGAAAGAAAACCGAAAAAAAGTGTTTTTTTGACATAACTTCGTCATTTCTTCTCGGATCGTTTTTGATGATATGGAATAATTTTTAGAGCTTAAAAAACCGCGTCGATCGCCGCCAAGAACGTAGAAATCGGTTGATTGGTTCGAGAGATATCCTCGATAAAATATTTGGAAACAAGTGCTTTTTTAACATAACTCCGACATTTTTTGGAATAACTTTTAAACGGCTGCACTGATCAATTTCAAAAACTAATCAGCTATTAGCATGAAAAAATTACGTCGATCGCCGCCAAGCCGGTCAAAATTGGTCAATTCGTTCAAGAGATATCATGAATGAAAGAAAACCGAAAAAAGTATTTTTTTGGAATTACTCCAAATTTCCTAGTTTTATCAATTCAAACTTGAAGATTCTTCATGAAACTAAAAAAATTGCGTCAAATGCTGCCAACCGCGTGAAACTCAGTTGATTTATTCAAAAGTTAGTGCGGTTTGAAAATTAAAAAAATATTGTTCTATGAAACTTCTATCAGACTTTTGAGCTCGAAGAGCTCAAAAGCATACAAAAGCTATCTTTTTAAGCTCGAAGAGCTTTAAGTAACACATAAATTGTATTTTTGAGCTAGGAGAGCTCAAAAACATCATTAGTGCCGTTTTATGCACCTAGGTATGGAATTAGCGGGAAGTTGCACGGATGGCCTTCAGGGTCTACCGTTTTTCTAATTTTTTTATTAGAGATTTAAATTCAACTATTATTAAGCAAAAATTAAAATAATTATTCAAAAATACGATTCTTGATGATGATTAATGACAATAATGATAATTCAATTGTCGATAATACCCTACTAAAAACTCGGTTATGGGACATTTTTTGATGATCCGCAATATAAAAGTTTCCGTAATATAAGTGTAGTACAAGTAAAGATTCAGATTATAGTAATAATTATACTATCCGAAAATGAATAACTGACTCTCTTTTATAGACTTCGGCATTCAGTTAAAAATCATCAAAATGTAACTACGTACTTCTAATGGAGAAGCTAACAGTTCATCATATCTAGTCAACAATGATAAGAGTCAAAATTCTGATAACTATTAACATTTTGAAACTTCCTGAGTTTATTTTGCGACCAAATGCTTAAATAATACAGATAGGGGATAATACATTCCATTGCCTCGACAAGGATATTATAAGTATAAATTAATTACAATATTTAACAATTTTACAGTATTTTTGTTTTTATCTGACCAGTTGGTTGTTTATAAATTTTTATTTCAAATTGTAAATTGTAACTGAGTCCTGGTCTGGGCCGTCCGAATTATTTTTTCAGTTGAAATTATCTCTAATGACAAATTCTACGAATAAAAAATAATTGTTTATGCGCGGAAGGTTCCGGCAAAAAAATTATTATAAATATTAGTGCAATTTGCAAGTGGTCTAGGCCAGACAGCCAATAATAATTGTAAATATAGTAAATTTACAATTTGAAATAAAAATTTATAATATATTTAACAATCTTATCTTTTGGGTTTACTTTTATTTCGATTGAAAAAAAATTTTTAATCGGTCTATAGTTCATTAGAAAAAGATTACTAAGCTTGTGACGTATCATTTATAAACCGAAAACTTAAACTTTTAACAAAATTTCATTAAGTCACTTTATGTATTACTTGACTTTCTAATATCATATTTGGGCATCTTCATTTTACACAAATATGAAATTTTTTTTTTACTTTTACTTTCAGTACTATTACTAATTTTATTTTGGAAATTCGCTATAATTTCAAAGTTTAGATTATAATAATTTACTCCTTTATTGATTGAATGTTTTATGTAATTTATTATTTTCCAGGAAGAATTTTTTATGTTAAGAGCATCTCCTAATCAAAGCAAAAGTGTTTGAGAGATATACTGGAGCATCTTTGAACAATGAGTTGTTGTGTTGTAAATTATCCTGGAGCGGCAAATATATTGAAATTTAAGATATTGAGTTTCTGACAGGTAATCATTATTTTTAACTATGATAATTTTTCTATCTAAGAAAGTTTTAATTAAAAAATTTGAAATTTTATAAATACCGCATAAATTAACAAAAATTATTTACGGCGTATTTTTTGCACATGTTCAATTGTTTTAAAAAAATTGATGAAATACTTCTTTACACACAAAATTTATTTTCATGAATATATTCACACATTTATATAATATTTCTAAATGCTATTGCTAATTCAAACCTATTTTACACAATGATTCAGAGGACACAATAGATTACGTCCTGGCATCAATATAGTAGTGATCGAGTTGAACCTGTTGCCCAAAAACATAATGATACTTAACTCTTTTTTTCTATCGAAAGTATTTTTTTTTTTTTAATTTAATTTTCCTTGTCATAAATAAATATTTGTATTTAATTTGTATAGTGAATTCAGATAAATCATTTATATTTTTATCAATATAGAATTAAAATACAAATTCAAAAACTAATGAAATTAAACTGCATGATTCGTCACCATTAATAAGTATTCAGTATAAATTTAAATGTGAATCAATACGGAATTACCCATTTAATTATAAAATTTTTAGTGATAAGTGATAATAAATGTTTTTTTAATACTGGGTTGATAAAAAGAAGGAAAAAAAGAGAGGATGTGGTCACAACTTACGGATGTTGTCTTGGTTTACCCTAATTAGCGAATAGAAGCCAGTAAACAGATATTAATTTTTTTACCAGTTTTAATGTAACTCTCAGGTAGAGCAGTTCTAGTGTTTTTTCTTCTTTTTTAAATAACTACTTTACATATTTTTGTTATAATGAGCAATAATTATGGATATTTAAATAATGACGAATCAAATGAAAGTGAATTTAAACGTAATCCAGTACGACGTAGTCTTAGACTCCGTTTAACTCGGGTGTTCAGTTCAGGCAGTTTAAAAAGTCCAAAAAGCCCTGGATATTCTAGTTTGTCGGATTCTCCCAACTCACCTGAAATCAGCTCAGCAATAAAGACTCGATACTCATGGCAGAATAATAATTTGAAAAATATATTATCAAATTCACCAAGATCATCCATTTCCTCAACTTCTTGTAATGATTCCATCAACAGTTTAACATTTATGGAAAGTATTAAGCCACCTGAAAATAATGATGAAAATAAGTGAGTATAGAATTACAATAAAATATTTTGATATTTTTAAAATAAAAAAATAGCCGCTAATAATTTTTATTTTTTGTTTTAAAAATTTAATTATTTTTTATGAAGAACTAAAAAATTATTTAAAAAAATTTAGAATAGCCTAATTAACATTTCCCTCGGGTAATTAATAAAATTAAAGTTGATGCTCATAATTCAGAACAAATGAAAAAAATATGATAAAACGTTTGATGTTATCGAAACTTGAACATTTATATCTGTCGTAATATCTTCCTCGAGTCCTAAGAATTAGGTCGTTTTGCGTGCGCACGTGGCCTTTAAGTTCAGGTCACCAATACTTTGATATCTAGTGAGTTTACAATAGCGACATACAATGGATTTTCCTCATGAATTCACCCGAAAACTATCGGGTCGATGCAGCGTCGGCGCTACAAGAGCATTCCCCACTTTCAGGAGATACCAGCTTCCATTTATGTTTAGTGGGGTCCGGGTACACGTGCGATGGTAGTATGAGCCTCTCCTACGCTGCTCCACCTCCATCTCTCACCTCTACCATTGCTCGCTAGCAAGGTTTTGGTACCCGACTGCACCTCCGTTCGCCACAACACGCAGAGACTCTACAGTGTAATATTGTTTTATTCAACATTCAACAGGACAACAAACAAATAACAAGGTAAGTTCATCATTTACTACGTTAATTCGATAATTACAGTATTTTATAATTAATAAATATAGCTGCGATTTCCTAATCTTAAATAAAACGCATCCCAATAATTATTACATAATAATAGTGACACTAATGTAATGTTTACTAACAAACGCTATTTCATGTTCCCGTATTAAGTTCTTAATTGTTAATAAACTTTGATTGAGTTACAATGAATTTAATTAGCACAATAAATTTCAATTAACAGTATGATAGTTTTATAACAGTCCTATTAAAAAATGTATGTATGTTGAAAAAATTTAATGAGCATCAAGTAGATTTATTCACTGTTAAGGTTTCACTATCATCGATTCTTATTGGTGTCTATATCAGATATTTTTTTTGTTGCTGTACATGTCGATTCTATTAGATTATAAAAACGAAAGTATGACACTTGAGTCAATAAGAACATACGGAGCATGAATGAAAGTCCAAAATTCAATAAGTCTTTTATATACACATATATAAAACGTGTTTCAACATCAATCGTTTAAATACGTAACGCATTGAGCTAGCTAGTATTTACTAGATATATCCAAGAGTGTCATGTGTTTGTGTATTCATACTGGTATTTATTAAGGTATTAAAGTAACAATGTGTTGGTATACATAATTTTGATGGTGTGTATCCTGCATCATCACATCATCAGTTGAAAAAGTAGGTCTAGGGAATCAGCTGTCTGAAGAAGGCGCTTGCGCGACATACAGACAGGGACACCTTTCAACTTTTATGACTTGATCATACATCCCACGCAATACTACCCCTTATTAAAATCATAAGCCACCCTTCTGTTATTAATAGCTGTTATTCTTGACTTTGACATTCCGCGTATCAGAAGTGTATATGCATAGTCTTTTATTTATATTCATTCATAGTCAGCAGTTTTGTTTTATATCAATTCTGTCGATATATTACATTTTTACATTTGTTATACGAAATAAAAAAAAAAAAAAACATTAAATTCAACGAAATTAATATTTAGTTCATATAATTTCATTACATGAGTTTCAATAATGTTAATAAAGCAAAATTGCAAGAACTATCTTTAGCAATGTCGAGTATTTATAGTTGAAAATAAAAAAAAAAAAAAAAACTATCGGCATGAAATAATTTTTAACAAGTGTCCTTTATT